GAGAGAGAGAGAGAGAGAATTACTTAAACTTCAGTTAACTTTAATTAATACTCATGGAAATGGATTTAATCTTTATCTAAAATTATTATGAACGATAACTCGTTATTAAAGTGTATATACATGAATAACGCATGTATATTTTGTGCTACTTTCTTACAAAATTCTACGCCATTTGTAGAATTAAACAACTCATCAATGTCCTTTCTTGACGTGGCTATCTTCTGTTTTGCCGTCATTGAAGAAGAAAAATTTCCACTCGGGAAAGAATTAATATTTACTTGCGAACACTGTAATTTTGATAGAGACAGAAAGAGGGAAAGCGCGCATCGAGCGTCTCTCTTCAAGAACAAAGTCGAACTACAACTGGAAAAAAGCTTCACTCTATATTACACGAAATCTATATAGATTATGTCATTGAGTACTCAGACGCTACACATTTTATGATATTTTATTTTTTCCTACGTTCTCCAAATTATAAGATTAATTATAGATTAATCATATGATATAAATTTCGATTTATTCCTTTAATCTCGATCTAATCTCGAATTCCACAAGAGAATAAAATGCATGACAAAATCATTCTGCAAGTACAAATATCTTGATAAATTGATCAAATCAAGACCGATGGAATATCTTTCAAAGAGTTTCGTGCCTAAAAATAAATAGAACATTAGATAACTTCAAATAGATAAAAAATGCTTAGATATTTTAACTGTTCTAAAACGGTTTTCATAAACAGAAATAAAACTGCGTCGATTTATTTCAAGGATATCAACATAACATTGAGTCTGACTTCTACAATGCGATCATTTTTCAAATCAAAATGCCTCACAGCGATAACACCGTGAACCAGTTTCAAGGATACCGAAGCAATCGCATGTGTGAATTCTTGCAAAGAGATGCAGCAACATGACGGATATTAAGCACACACATGCGGTACATGAGAAGGTCCAAGGTTAGCTGTGGCATACCTTGACCCTACACCTCATAAAATAAAATTTCATTCGCCAAGTAATTTGTGAAGCTGAATATATCTCGTTCGAGGAAGCGAGAGAAAACATACTTTCTTCAATCCACACACACATACATAATGCACTTATCTTCTATTTAATATTTTCTCTACATATTTGCCTTCGTTCCAGTTCTAATATTTCACTTGCTAAGAAGTTTAACAATTTGGATGTATTAAGTTTAAGGATTTTTATAGAGTAAGACCCTTATCCATAAATTCAATGAAAATTCTTGCTTCATTTTTTTACATTTTTTTATTTTGCAAATATTTCTATTACTCTTTCAATTGCTCTGTAGACAGCATTATTTTCCGAAATATTTTGCATAATACCAATACATCGATCGGCCTCTACGTTCGCTCTCAGTTCAGTATCTCTTAATATGGACCGACGAGAGGTAAACCTCGTGGTCTTGGACAATCCCACGCAAAATCTGCGATAGAAGGAATAAGTATCTCTTACGTGACCACCATGTTTGCGCGCAATGTGTGTGACTCTCGCTATAAAAAATATCACAATGGAAAACACTTACAATACTCCATGTTTTATCAGAATTTTTGTGATATATTATAACATTGTACTCTGATTATACAACGAGTTGATCTAGGTCGAGGATGTAGCTTCGTAAATGATGATCTGTTATGTTTTCGTCTTCTTTTTTTTTTGACAAACTTTCTATTTATTTTTAAGACGCGAATAATCATGAATCATGGACTTATAGATCTCGAGTTGTTTATGACGATGACGAGAAAGAGTGGAACGTGATCTTTTTAAAAGGGGAAATCCTGCTGTACGCGTGAACTCAATTACACATAAATAAGACTACAAGAAATGAGAAAATATAATGATATGTGACACCATTATTGTTATTATAAATTGTTGCTGCAAGTAAGCTAATACAGAAGATCATTTGATATTTATATTAATTGACACATTTGTTGTAATTGACTCATTTTTTTCTCATGATTAAAAGTCGTAATTTATCGTTATACATATCTTTTCTAAAAAAGTTAAATTGCAAGACATTTTTCAACTGTATTTATATTGCTCTTAAAAATAGCTGTAAGCTCGATGAAAATAAAGAAATTGGTAAGATAAGATGCAGTCTCTTCTGCAAAGCAATGCACGCGTGCAACATGTAGCATCGTTTTTCCCACAAAAACCACAACCTGAATTCGTGCAACTGGAACTTCAAATTCCAATTTCAAACTGCAATATATTTTGCAATAGGCATTAAATGACCGCATTGCATTAAAAACGATTGCAAAAGCATCTTTTCATCGCGATAGTGATGCGCGCTTATAAACGAGCAAAATAGCGAAAATTCAAAATTCAAACCGGCGAAGATTGCGAAACGACCTGGTGAAACGGAATGCATCGTCTCGAGCTTGGTTTGAAATTGTGCTTGAAGCGGAACGTTTATCGTCTTCGGGTCGAACGCCGTAAATGGAGTGATTACGACTGACCGGCGAAGCGGGGTATGCGTCGCCGCGCCTACAAGCCATATAGATAGTAAAGAAGAAAAGAGACGGGCCCCGTAGTCCGAGGAACGACTGCTGACTAATCGTTCGCAAAGGAACTCCCGCCGCCCCCCCCCCCCCACATAGTTGGTCAGGTCCCTCGCATAGTATGTTCTAGCTCTGTTGACCGAGAACCGGAGATTTGCATATATGCTCGTAGATCATAAGTTCCTTTCTAAAAATTAATTATTAATCATCATTGAAATCGTGCAGACAATTAACCATTATGTTATGACTTTTGTACTCTTCAAAAAAGAAGAAATATTATATTAGGCTAATTATTATTATTATTAATGCTAATAATAATTGATTTTATAATAACAATATGAAAACTATTCGACTATCTTTCACGCAGCCTTTCCGAACGAAATTCTAGAAAGTCAATTTATTCATCTTTATGTTAAATGTTATACTTTTGTGATGATTTTTGTATGTATTATATTTGGAAATAGAAATTTATAAATGCAGAGAGGTGTCGAGAAGTGAATTCCTTATTCTTAATAATTTTTGTTCAATTGTTTATCTATTTTTATTTAAAATTTTATAATAAAATTGTAACGTTAATCAATTTAATATTTTAAGATTTTACATCAAACGGATTCAAATTTAAATAATTTATCGGGGACTATTTTGCATACAAGATAATAACAAGTGGCTGACACGGAAAAGACAATTTATGTAGGTTTACATTGCAGGTTTCGGCGTTGTGTCTAACAGCGGACGAGATCGAGGCCCAGAGAAGTGGCTGGAACCTAAATCCCAATACGCAATATCACATTCAGACCGATGAGGGTCCAGAAAGGTTCTTTCGATTTCAAACGTCGAACGGTCAATACAGGAAAGAAAAGAGACTCGCCGATGGCACGGTGATTGGCACCGAAGGCTGGTTAGATCCTCTCGGATATTTACGACTAAAGGATTATATTGCGGACCATGAGGGATTTCGAATATTAAAGTAATTTGAATAAATTTAATAAATAAAACTAGTTTTCGGAATATTTCTGCGTGCGAAATTTAACAAAAATTAGAAACCAGCACAATAATTAGGTCCTAACGCGAATTCATTATTAAAATTCTTTTAGGTCAAAAATGGTTTATGTAGGCAAAGATCGACCTATTCAGGATGCAGTGGCAGAAACGAAAAAGATTCCACCACAAACTGGAGTCTTGGCTAGACCCAAAAGACCACCAAATCCTTTCAGGTAAAAACCGATTGAGAAATGAAAAACTCATTTTATAATAATACAATTTGTACAATAGAGAAAAAAAGTAGAGTTCATTTGTCTCAAATCAGTTTTTCAAAAATACTACAAAAATTCGTAAAGATATTCAATTATTCGTTACAGACGACCGGATCCCAATGCTGTTGTGTCACTATCCGGCAATGATATCACTTCCGGTTACTACACTCCGACAACAATCAAACCCCGACCGATTTCGAGAAATAATTATTATTCGAGTCGATCAGGTTATCCATCTGGATTACAGAGTTTGGATGCCTATCATCGACCACAGTCTACATACTATCGTGGATCTATAGGTCGACCACCGACTCAGATTCTCGAGGCTCCCTATGATCCTGCTGTCGGGAGTTCCTCCATCAGGCCGAGCTATCAATTGCCAATTTCTCGAAGCGATCCGGCCGATTTCCCGCCGTATGACGGTACTCATAATACGGCGAATGGCTTTCAATATTATTTGAGGAGGCAGTATCATGAGGAGGAACGTGAGCCCGAAGGCAACAATGTCGGTTCATTCGGCTACATCGATCCGTTCGGCATCAGACGGGTGATTTATTACAAGACGGACCCGTTCACCGGTGGATTCCTCCACAAGAAGAATAATCGATACGTTGGCTTCAATGGGACGCCGTATGATCCGCTTCCGCCTGATTTATCCAGGACGCGGCTTTCAAGGGGCTCTCCCACGAGCGACTCGTAACAATTCCGTTATTGTTCATCGCTTTGCCGCGTTGTAGCATCACGTTTTGCATCGCAAAGAGCTCATCATCCGATACCGCGTCGACGCTGGATTCAACCACGCTGGACGGCCTTGGTTCGACTCGATGATCTCGACAGCGAGACCGCTCGTCGGATCGAACTGCCGCCTGTTATCGATGTTCCCTTAAACAATTTCCGTTGATCGCCGATTTTCCGGCCGGGTTAGAACCAACGGATATCGGAAAGGGGAAGAACAACGGTGAATAGAAACGGTCTCGTGAATGTGAAGATAGATATGGTTTCTATGGTTTCATGGGGAAAGAATAGAGAGGTTCACCGGCAGGGATTCTCGATCATCCGATGTTGCTTATGTAATATATATATATATAGATATAACGTTTCTCGAAGTGCCACGATTGATATTTTTCTGATATACTCCGACTCCGTTGTGTCATCATCGCTGACGGTTCCCAGTTATTATTCGAGATGATATAATGTTGCGAGGAACGAAAGCCGATTGAATCAGGGGGACGATTGAAATATAGCAGATAAGAAGGTTCCAACGGAGAAAAGATAAGAATTACGCGAGATTAAGACAATGACTTTTCGTCATCGAGAACCAAGGCGACGGCTTCCTGATTCGTCGTCCTGCCTTTGTTCTATTATTCTCGCGAATAGATGATCGGATATCGCGAAAAGACAACGTTAGATGCCATGCTGAACTATAACTTACCTTTCAGGGAAGCACAGTGGGACTTCCTTGAAAAAAAGAAAATCGTAGGAATGCGTCGGATAATGTTCGCCAATCAATTACGTCATTGATCTCTGAAATGTGTGAAGATTTTCGATTATTATCTTTGTGCGTAAGCTTTTTTTAGTAATCCGTTTTTGTAAAAATACTGTGGAAAA